AACACTTCCACTGAATTTTCTTCTGAAGTGCTCTAGAATATTTAATAGCGCAATACTACCAAAAATAATAAATTTGTGAGTTAATAAAAATGTTAAGTTCACTGCCACTACATTGCTTAAAATATGTCAGATGCCTCTCATTTTTTAACATTGCTTTTTAATATTCTGACACACTCTACGGAGCCAAAATCTACTGAGTGTTTTATAAATATGTATAAATATTTTAAGTTTACAATTTAATATTAAAATATGTTACAGTATGTTTATTGTTGATGTTCTATCAGAACATTAACAGTATCATACAGAAAATTCCGCGACGGGAAGTTCTCATCATTATGGGCGATTTTAATGCCAAGATAGGAGCTGGAAATAAGAGACAGTACATTGAAGCACATAGACTTGGAGTCAGAAACGGGAGAAAAATTCGCAGAAGACTCAGAACTAGTTGTCGCCAACACATTCTTCCAATTACCACCTCGCAAGCTGTACACGTGGAAATCCCCTCAAGACAGACCCGGGAGAATTATTAGGAATCAAATAGACTTCTTCTTCTTAGAGTGCCGTCTCCCTACGGAGGTTGGCAATCATAATGGCTATTTTTATTTTAGAACTTGCTGCTCTAAACAAATCAATCGATCTGCATTGGTACCAATCACGTAGATTCTTTAACCATGAGTTCGGCCTTCGGCCAACAGATCTTCTTCCTTGAATCTTTCCCTGTATTATCAGTCTCAAAATTTCATATTTTGGTCCCCTCATCACGTGGCCTAGGTATTCCAGTTTTCTGGTTTGTATAGTGGTGATTAGTTCTGTTTCTTTACCAACCCTCTCCAGTACTTCTTTATTTGTAATTCTATCAGTCCATGATATTTTCAATATTCTGCGGTATAACCAGAGTTCGAAGGCCTCGATTCTTTTTAAATTACATTTTTTTAATGTCCAAGTCTCAGCTCCATATAATAATATTGAAAATATATAACAGCGAATGGTACGTAGTCTGATCTCCAAATTTAGATTTTGCACGTTAGGAGTGGCTTCATTCGTATAAATGCTGATCTGGCAATCTCTATTCGTCTGTTTATTTCTACAGTATGATCATTGGTTTCATTGATCAAAGTTATTGATATTTTTCAAGACAAGATATTTTTCACAAATAGACTACATTTTAGTAAATAAAAGATTCCGAAACAGCATTACACCTGTCAAGACTTATCCTGGTGCAGACTTGGAGATAGATCACGTTCCACTGGTGGGAGTAGTTCGACTCAAACTCAGAACAGTGCAGAAAAGAAAAGCACAATCATACGACCGCTAAAAGACCTTGATACGAGGATGAGAGTCCCAGTCACGTTAAACGAGCAAGTGACTGCAATTAGAGACGAATCAAACGAAGGACAAACGATCAAACATATTACAGAAATAGTGCAAAATGTAAAGGATAAACATTTAAAGACGGATAGATTAATGAAGAAAAAAACATGTATGACAAATGAGATTCTGAAACTAATGGAAGGGAGAAGAGAAGCCAAAACTGACACTGACAAATACAAATATATATAAATAGAAATTGTTGGTAGCAACAAAGGAGCCAAAAACTGCGAAGATTGCCGTACTATAAGCCTGATGTCATCTCCTATAATTGTTCCTAAAGATAATTCATAAGAAAATCTACAAGCTATTTATTTATTTATTTATTAAAACTTACAAACACCACCTAGGTAGTATTTATATGTAAGAGTGCTCATTACTTGGTATAACAATATACACACAAAAAATACAATATACACACAAGTACAAAATAAAAACACACAAAATAAAACACATTAAAAAAAGACAGAAGTTAATAAAATTTTAAAAATTGAGTCCATTACTTATCATACTTATTCATAACATTTTTTAATAATCCTTACACTACAGGTAAAGAGGTCTATATCACAGATCTTTATTAACTCATTATACTGATATTGCATATAGTTTATTATTGCACAAGAATTATATGGACTACAAGAAAATAGGTCATTACTGTTTACCCATTAGGTTGACCTTTGTCACATGAAACCTAATAAAGTTGATCAAACCACATGTCTTATATTTAACATTGTTAATGATATTATGAATAAACACAACGCAATACATGTTTCTTCTTTGCTCTAATGACTGCAAGCCAAATATTTGAAGCAACTCTTTTGATGGCGTAAGGTGAGTATACACATTGTATTTCTTAAGGAATAGAATTGTTATTGTGCATTAGAAATCTTTTTTGTACCTTTTCTATATGATTAATATGAACTTTCGCTTCAGGATGTCCATACCACTGATGCATATTCCAAGTTTGGTCTGACTAAAGCGTTATATAGTCTAATGGTTGTGTTTATACTAAAGTGTTTAGAATTTCTTATTACAAATCCCAATATTTTGTAGGCCTTATTAACAATATTTATAAAGTGTTCGATAAATTTCATGTTAGCCTGTAGGTATATTCTCAGATCTTTACATTTGGTTTTCCTAGATTCTACACAATTTTCAATTCTATAATTATTTTGAATGCAATCAATTTTGCTAGTAAAAGATATGACTCCACACTTCTTAATATTCAAGATCATATTGTTGTCCCTAAACCCTTCCACAACTAAGGTCAGGTCCTTCTGTAGTAACTGACAATAATTTGAAGTATGTATAGTCTTAAAAAGCTTAAAATCATCAGCATAGATCAGACTAGAAGAAAATTTAAGAGATTGTGGTAGTGAGTTGACAAAAATTAAGAAAAACAAAGCCCCTAAGTTGCTCCCTTGGGGAACACCAGATGTAGCCTGAAATTTATCTTTGATGGTACACAAGGCAAATATCGAACACAGTATTTAATTAAATCTTGCCCAAGTACTTTCGATCACAAGATCATCCTCAGGGGCATTTCGTCAATTGTGGCCTATCCAGCAATAATGGAATGTCATACATGTAAACTGGGACATAACAAATACACTAAAGACAAACAAACACTTTAAAATTTAAATTGGAGAAGCTACATTTTTATATTATAGAAGCCGGAGACGATATAAAATATAATACAATATATAATATAAAAATGTAGCTTCTCCAATTTAAATTTTAAAGTGTTTGTTTGTCTTTAGTGTATTTGTTATGTCCCAGTTTACATGTATGACATTCCATTATTGCTGGATAGGCCACAATTGACGAAATGCCCCTGAGGATGATCTTGTGATCGAAAGTACTTGGGCAAGATTTAATTAAATACTGTGTTCGATATTTGCCTTGTGTACCATCAAAGTTCATTTATTCGAACATTCAACCTTATATTGGTGAAATTTATCTGATAAACACCTACCAATTTTGAATCGTTGAAACCCTGATTCCAAATACTATTTTATAAATGTACAAGCATCATGCGAAAAACCAAACTCATTCAATCTCGATAAAAGAATGGCATGGTCAACCATATCAAATGCCTTTGAGCAGTCAGTCATTACTAAATCTAATTGAAGTTTATTATTTATTGCCTCACTAGCAAAATTAGAAAGAATGCACAGATTACTAGTTGTGGATAACCCAGGCAAAAACCATGTTGTTCTGGAGCAAATTCATTTTCAAAATTTTTCAGTATATTCATATAGAGAATAGATTCAAATATTTTAGCCAGGGAATTAAGGATACTTATAGGACGATAGTCTCTATATTGTTTCTATTACCTGATTTAAAAACTGGAGTAATGGTAGCCTCTTTGAGTTTGTCTGGAATGGTGTTAGTTTTAAGAGATAGATTAAATAGATGTGATAATGGTTTTTGAAATATATCAGAACATCCTTTAAAGATATAGGCAGGGATATTATCACTACCAGTGGCCTTTTTTGGCTTTAATTTTTTTATACTAACCTTCACATCTTCTTCACTAATACCTGAAAAGTTAAAACTGATATGTAGATGATACCTGATAAATTGAGCTAAAATTATGAGAGAAAGTATATTCATGGCAATATCCTGAGGGCCTGTATAGGTATGATCATTTAAAGACATCTCGTGAGGAAAACCGCTGGTTTGTCTCCTACGTCTTATGAATGTCCAAAAACTATTTGGGTCATGCAAAATGTTATCTTTAATATTATTTTGATGCTGCATAAATTCATTTTTGATTTGCTTTTTAATAGTATTTCTAAGACTCCTGAATTTATTGTTATCGACAGCACTAGCTTTCCTTATTTTTATATGTTTGCTTAATTTGTTTTTTTGTCTGATTTTTTTAATAAGGTCTAACTAAAATAAGCTGGATATTTCTGTTTTTTCTATTTTTAATAATTTTCTTTGGGGTGTGAAAGTCAAATATCTCCAACCAGTTCGAGTTCACAAATGCTGTTAGTACTAGAGAAAACATTGTTCTTTATGTTAAAATTTGTGCATCAAAATGCTGTTTATATTGAGAGTGAAATTAACGAATTTTCAATGAGAAAATGATGCGTTATGTTCTATCAAGGAACAACCAGTGTGCACGATGAAGAACGAAATGGAAGATCATCTCTTATGACACAGCAGTTGATGACAAAATTCAGAAGCCGGTAATTTACTTTAACCACATTGTATGACTCTTTTCCACGCATTTCTTTATCTCTTTTACGTAAAATAGTGGCTAAGTATCTTGGTTATAAATAATGTTTGCTTGATGGGTTTCAAAAATCTCTTACGACTTGTAACGGAAGACAAAACTTGGGTTTCTTATAAAACTCCTGAAACAAAGTGGCAATCCATGATTTGGCATCATCGAACTCGCTCTAAAAAGCCAAAAAAGAAAAACTGAATTTGTGACAGGATTTGGCGAAGTCTTTAAGAGTAGAATACTAGAAGAGTTTGACGAAAGACGTACGGTAAATCACTGGTGGGAATAAAACAGCAAAGTTTTTGTATGAGTGGGAGAGAAAGTTTTAAGATAAACATCTGGTAAAGGGTCTCCTAGGGACAAATAAACTTGTTAATGGAACGACGAAGTTTAACAGAATGTTGAAAGTGGTATAAATGGACTAAAAGAGAGGAAAATAATGATAACAAAGAGGTAAGCAGAGCGCGCTGTAGCTACTGCTAAAGAAATATCGTCTGCATCGCTGTATGAAGAGTTAGAAGCAGCCGATGAGATGAAAAGTTGTTACAGCCTTGATAAGGTAAGGGACAAGTCATTAAAGGATGTGTACAGCAGATTAAGAACGCGAATGAAGAAGTGTTAAGATCCGATGTAAAAATAAAGTAAAGATTGTATGGGTACTTTAGAAAGTTGCTAAATGTAGAACGCCAGAGGAGAGATAAAGGATGCGGTCTTCCAAATGATAATATAATACCTAAAATAGCAAGAGATAAGGTTATCAAAGCGTTAAATATAATGAAGAATGGTAAGGCAGCACTAACAGAACGTCGTGTTAATATTTCACTACGTTACATTCTTTTATTTTCCTTCATACGTTGTATATTTTTCAGTTCATAAAATGTCACAGATACTTACCCTTTATTCTGCAAATTAGCGAATTTGCGCTGTTCTTGGAAATTAAAACGTATTATTGCTTTTTATTGTCAACTATCATCGCTGCGAATGATCGTAAGAAGCACAAAGACAACTTATTTCATATTATGGTTGGAATTTCCCGTCTAATTTAATGAAAGAAACAATTTTCAGTAAAGCTGAATATTTTGTGGATTTCGCTGAATAACTATAAAACAAAAGTCGGAATATTTTTTGAGAGGTTAATTAGATCAAAAGTGTAGGTTTACAAAAGCTTTTGAGATTCTTAAATGCTTTGAGCTAGATACATATTTACACAATGAAATTTAAAGCAGTTAAGCTACATTGTAGTTAATTAAACCTAGTTGCGTATTACTTACTTTTTTAAATTAAATTTTCATATTATTTACACAAGTAAAATTTTTTCTTTTTACCAGTAATTATTAACTAGCGTTTCTCGTGAAAATGTTTTCACATTGCAAACAAAGATAATATAAATATATCTTGCAATAATAAAGATATCTTGCAATCAAATGGATTATATCTGTTTCTCTTTTTTGGTGTTTTCAGTTATTCTTCTTCTTCTTATAGTGCCGTGCCCCTATAGCACGCTGGTGATTTATATTAGGGCCAGACGTCTGTCTTTTGCGGCATGCAAAAGATCGCCATTGTTATTTATGCCTGTCCAGTTTTTTATGTTCCTTAGCCACGACATTTGTTTGCGACCTACTTCTCTTTTGCCTTCAAACTTTCCCTGGATGATTAGTTGAGAGATTACGTATTTTTTTCCTCTCAGAATATGGCCGAGGTATTCAATTTTTCGTATCTTGATTAAATTGAGTAGTTTTCTCTCAGTATTTGCCTTTCTTACGACTTCTTACTTAAGACTTCCTTCTTAAGACCAGACGAGTTCTACTCAGAAATTTTGAAAATTATGGATAAAGACGAAGTAAAAAGATTTACCTTGATCTTCAACAATATATACCAAAGTGAAAAAATACCCCAACAGTGGCTAAGATCAACTTTTATAACAATCCCTAAAAAACCCAATGCCAAAAAATGTGAAGATTCTCGAATAATAAGCCTTATGAGCCATCTCCTAAAAACTTTTTTTAAAATTATACATAAAAGAATATATAAAAAGTGTGAAAAACACATGACAAACACACAATTCGGCTTCAGGGATGCATTGGGTACTCGAGATGCACTTTTTGCAATACAAGTTCTCTTTCAAAGATGTAGAGACGTGAATTGTGATATATAGGGGAAGTGTGCCTATGTTGGACCCCTGCCTATGACGGACCCCCGGCTGTAATTTTAAATAGCGCGCGGTTACATACACATCGCCGGTTGCCGCTTGCGCACGAAGTTTGTAGTTTAGTATTTGCAAAGTTTCAGACACGTGGCTATTATAACAGTAAATTTGTGAAATAAAATTAAAATTTGGCGTTGCTGATCTAATATTTTTTTTTGGTAAGTAGCATTTTACTGGTAACATACGTTAAGCTAAGTGTTGCTTTTGTTTTGTATAAAATGACTACACTTTCTTTGTCAAATACTATACTTTGTTTTAGGTTAAAATGGTCAAAACAAAAGTAACAGAATTAAATTTGCTGAGTTGTCTATTTGCCTATGATAGACCCCTGTGTCGTTACCTATGACGGACTAGGGGTCCATCATAGGAAAAAGAAAATAAAATTGGACACACCTTCAGTTTTTGTTACTTAATGATTAACATAATATGTTTTACAGGGATGGCTCTACAAAAAAGGCAACAGTGGAACGAGAGTAATATGCAACAAGCTTTAAAAAGCATACAAGAAAAAACTATGGGGTTTAAGCTGGCAGCAAAAACATTTAAAGGTGATTTGGGAGGACGACGACCAATATTCTCCACTACTATTGAACAGGAAGTTGCTGACCATATTATTACTATGGAAACTCGTTTTTTTGGCCTGGCTAGTAAAGATTTGCGAAAACTTGTATACGAAGTAGCTGAAAGAAACAATATTAGCCACAATTTTAATAAGGAAACCAGGATGGCAGGCTGGAAATGGGTCAGAGGCTTTTTAAAGCGAAATCCTCGAATATCATTACGCACTCCAGAAAATACTTCGTTGGCAAGGGCTGAAGCTTTTAATAAACCAAATAAATGTGCCTATTTTACTGCATTAGCAAATAAATTAGACGAGTTTCACTTTCCACCGGAAAACATTTATAATATGGACGAGTCCGGTTTGACAACTGTGCAAAAGAAATCGCAGAAAATTTATGCCAGTAAAGGTCGCAAACAAGTTGGTGCTTTAAGTAGTGCAGAGCGCGGTCTACATGTTACGGTCGTATATGCAATGAATGCAATTGGAACATATGTTCCTCCTGCTTTGATTTTTCCTCGACAGAGAAGGAAAGATGAACTTATGATCGATGCACCTACTGGAAGTATAGCCAAGAAAAAGGATGGATGACTTCCGATATTTTCTATTTGTGGCTGCAACATTTTTTAAGGTATACAAAGGCTTCTAAAACTAACAAAGTTTTGTTGTTACTTGATGGATATGGTAGTCACAAAAGTTTTGAAGCTCTACAGTTTGCAAAGGAAAACGGTATTATTATGTTTTGTTTTCCTGCTCACGTTCAACCCTTGAACGTAGGATTTTTCAGACCACTTCAAATCTACTACGGCCAAGAAATTCAACTATGACTGCGACAGAATCCAGGTAAAACGGTGATCCAATTTAAAGTAGCCAGTCTCTTTAATAGAGCGTATTTAAAAAGTGCTTTACCATCAAATGCAATCAATGCATTTAAAAAGACAGGAATACAACCATTCAATCCAGATGTCAATTTTTGCCGTCTATAACAACAGATAGAGAAAATTCTGAACAAAACCCACTGCCAGAATGTTCTGACCAGAAGTCACCACCGGAACATTGGAGCCAAAATGTTTCTTCGATTGAAAGTTTATCAAAAAGCCCCACTGGTCAGAAATCAACATCATCGTCAGTTCTAAACATCTCGGTAGAAGATATTTGTCCTCCTCCTTTAGCTGGAGTATCTCAAGTAATGCAGAAAAGGGGTAGAAAACGGGGTAAAACAGGATATTTAAATTCAACGCCAGAAATTAAAGATATAAAACAAAAAATTGCAGACAAAGAAGAAAAAAAGGAAACAAGACGCCAGAAAAGTGAAAAGGCAAGTTCGTGTTTCAACTACAAGTGGTTCTGAAGACGATTGTGAATGCTCTTTTGTAGAAGGCGACTCGGATGATGCAGCTTGCATCTACTGTAACGAACTATTTTCGCATTTACGATCCAATGAAAAATGGATTCGTTGTCAAGTGTGTAAGAATTGGTGTCACACTGAATGTGCAGATGTAAATCCTCGACATAAACAATTTGTGTGTGAATTGTGCACGTAATTTTTTTATTCTTAAAAATACCATGTGTAATATTTTTTATCGTTTGTAATGTCTTTTGATCTAATAAAATAATTTGGTATTTAATTATTTTACACAAAATGCAACGAGTCCATCATGGGCGTACCAAAGGGTCCATCGTGAGCGCATATATGCCCATGATGGACCCTTAACAGGATTTTAGTAAATTATGAATAAATTTTTAACATCACTTTTTCTGCAAAATTTGAAACATTTGCCATATTTAAATATGACCACATAACGAGACGTTATGTGGTCATATTTAAAGTCTGCTAAGTAAATAATTAAAATTAATATGATGCTATTTTCTTAAGGAGACCATCATAGGCACATTTCCCCTATGTGTGTTTTGTTGATTACCAGAAAACGTTCGATAGAATAAAACATGAGGAACGGATGAAAATAATAAATTCAATTGGTCTAGACAACAGAGATCACCGTATAATAAATAATATCTATTACGAACAGACTGCAGCTGTTAGAGTTGGGGATCAGTTAACAGACGATATAAAGATAAAAAAGTTTTACGACAGGACGTATATTGTCCCCATTATTGTTCAATACATATTCAGAGCACATTATGAACCTATCGCTAACGAACATAGACGAGGGAATACTTCACATAAGAACAACATAAGATACGCTGATGATACTCTCATTTTTGCAGACAGTCTTGAAGGTCTGCAGACACTTATCTCCAGGGTGGCAGAAGTAAGTAGCAGGTTTGGGCTTGATTTTAAAATTAAAAAAACCAAATACATGGTTATAAGCAAAAATAGGATACCACCTGGTCAATTACTAGTTAACCATCAACCTATAAGACAAATCACCAATTTTTGTTATCTGAGTGCAAACTTAAATGAACAGTGGGACCAATCGATGGAAATTAAGATAAGGATCAAAAAGGCAAGATCAGCTTTCATCAAAATGAAAAAAATCTTAAACAGCCACGACATAAAATTGGAAATAAAAGTTCGTTTACTAAGTTTGGATCTTAACTGAAGCATCACTGAAGAGACTTGAAGCATTTGAGACGTGGTGATATAGACGCATGTGGAGGATTTCCTGGATAGACAGAGTTAGCAACGAAGAAAGACTGCATAAAATTGGTAAAGAGCGCGAACTAGTCGTACCCATAAAATGTCGCAAACTAGAATACCTTAGCCATATAATGCGCAATAAACAACGATATGACCTACTTCGGACCCTACTTCAAGGTAAAGTGTATGGGAAAAGAGGTCCAGGACGGAGAAGAATATCCTGACTGCATAACCTTCGAAAATGGTTAAACTTAACCACTACCGGACTTTTCAGGGCAGCAGTCAACAAAGTCAGAATAGCCATGTTAGGGTCCAACATCCGTAACAGATAGGCACCATAAGAGGAAGAGAATGGCATGCAAAGCATTTGTTTTATGACTTCATTTCAATTCATTTAGAAACCCTGGTTCACCGGCATTTATCCGTTTTTACCAGACGCTATATCTGGAGCTGCCTTTGCACCAAGTTTAATCACTCACATAGAAGAAGACGAAATAAACCACAGTAGCTCCCAATATTTATGAGATGTCGTTAGTTCTAGCAAGTCGATTCAACCCCCATATAAAAACGAGGCGAGTAGAAGCGAATATCAAGTGCCAAATAAAACTAATAACAAAAAGAAGCCTTTAATTACCGTCTCAAGTAGCGAATCATTATCAGATTTTAGTCTTCACGATGACTTACTTGACGATGTCTCTAGTGAAGATGAACCTATGAAAAGATCTAAGAGGAGCAGCAGCTCTGAAGATGACAGTCCACTAATTGAATTAAAATAGAAACAGAAAGGCAATACGGATACAAAAGAAACAACAAAATGTAATCCGGGGTCTAATCAAGTAACAACTTATAACTCCAGATGCTTTAACAGTTCTTTTAAAGATACAGGACTGCTGATTACACAGGAAATTAAATTACCCACCGTGAAGAGAAAGCCAGAAGCTCAGCAAAGATTTGTTCGCACCAATACCAAAATTGAATAATCCAATCAAAGTTGTCAACAAAGCAATGAGTAGTACGACAAAGAAATCAAGTGATAAAGAATTATGGTATTGTTTTATTTGTAACATCTGCAGTAAAGAAGATATGCGCTTGTGCATAGTGTGCTATCGTTATGTTCACTAGGCCTGTGTTGTAGGACTGACTAAAGATGACAAAGACAAGTTTACTTGCCCTCAATGTTCTTAAGATATATTTCTCAGAAATGTTTGTTACGTTTATACCATGTTTATACATACTACTTAATTGCCTTTATTTTTTTAGAAATATGTATTACTTTTAACTGGAATGCTGCATTGCTTAATATTTTCATGGGTGGCAATAATAAGAGATCTGTATTCCTAATATTGCCATTCGCAACGTCAATAAAAAGTATTCTTTATTCAGTTTTTGTTTAGTTTTTTGATATAATTAAAATACATTATTAAAGAAAATATATTTCTTTACTACTACCCAAATTTGTTTACATTTATTAATAAAAGTGTAGGATTTATTTAGAACCAAACGTTAAGGTGGCAATATTTGTCTCACTTACAAATAAAGTTGTTTCTGTGTATAAAATAATAAACATAATAATTTCCATAAGTATAATAAAGTTGCTAGTCTAAAAAGGCACGTTTCTTTTTTATAGGTTTACCGTTTTATCAAATAATATTTCAGCTTTACTCACACACCTTCACAAAAATAATACATTCAACAGCTATTCGTTAGTGATACGACTAGTATTACAGAGTTGTACCCAAAATAATTATTGATTCACCAATAAAAATGTAAGAACTTACTAGTTTTGCTGATAAGAGGAGTAACAAACCTGTCCCAAATTTGACTAATAGCAAGTTTTGGGTGTTTATTCGATTTGTAACTGGTTTTGATTGGGACGAATCACATAGGCACATAAGGTTACTTATTTTCAGAACAATTTAATTTTCAATAGGAAATCAGAAATTTTTATAAATTTAGAGAGTTATTATTAAGAAAATGTAATATGAGAATAAAATAAAACAATACATTTTTGTTAAAATAGTTAAGAAACTATTTAAATGTAGAGGAAAGGAGCCAAATATGGAATACCATTTTTATTTTTTGCTGTCAATAAGTGGTTTTCGATCAAATGAATCTAATTCTTTAAGCTAAATTGGATCATAATTTCGTTCATCGGAATTATTATCTGAGGATTCAATTAATTCGATAAGTTTTTCACAAAAAAACTTTTACTGCATTGACACGTTTTTGTACCTAATACGGAATGTGCACCTAATATGGAACACTGTATGTTCTAAATATGGAATAAAACAAAATTATAGGAAAAATATTTATTGACAACTCAAACTTTTTTCATATTCTTATAAATAATTTTAAATCTTCAAGAGAAAGGTACCTGGCAGTTTTTTAATTTTCTTTGCAGAAATCACGTATGAATGTTTCCGTTTCTGCCCTTGCGCAATCAACATGGCACCACTGCAGGCAGGACAGACAGCGTATCCAATTTTCGCCTCGAACATCGTTTAAAAACTTCCATCGCAATAAAAGCACACTGCATCTGGATCTCCTAAATCTGTTATCCCTATTTCAGTGATGTTATCGTCAGATGATTTGTCATCTAAACTCTCGACGTCAGACTCCGATGAAGAGTACTCTTTACGATGTGATCGTTTCATCGTTGATTTGAGAATATTGACACCACTACAAGATGGTTGTGAATGGAATAGATCGAATATCACATTTCACTTTGCCATATTCTTTGATTTGTTCGATAAAGGAGAATTTATTGAATTATTTAGGTTTTCTTTGTATGGGGATGAGGTTATAACTGCAGCTTTTCCTGGTGCTCTTCCTCTTTGAGGTCCTTTTTTCTTACTTAATGTCGGCAAAGGTGCTATTTGATGATGCTCGATAAACGTATTCCTTTTTGATTGATCAGTAGTCCCATTTTCATCATAAATTTCGTTTACTGGAGTGTCAGATTGCGATGCCTCTTCAGCAGCAAGGAAATCGTGGTGTTCGAAAACATTGCGATTTGTGGGATATATGCCAGTTTTCCTGAAGCCATTAACGGCTATTGTCCCAGTTTGGACTTTCAAATAAGCCCTACCAAATAATTCAGAGATGTCGAAAGGTGTGACAGCCCTCTAATTGATTCGAAGAAATACTCTTAATTCCTCACTATAGTAAGATTTTAAAGGGCCTATGAAAGTTTTATCCAACGGCTGCATATAATGGGTAGAGTGTGGGGGCAGGCACAATATCTCCACAAAATTTTGTCTTGCTAAATCGATAACTTGTAAGTTGCGACAATGCGAATGGTACCCATCTAAAACTAACAATATTGGATCACTTTGTGATGGTCTTGTTTTTTCATGAAGTCCCGGAACCATTCTGTAAATTTTTCCGTTTGAATCCAGCCACTCGGATCACACACAATTTTTGATCCAGGAGGGGCTTCTTTTTGTAGCAAAATATTCATATTCTTTCTAGGATAAATAAGTAATGGTGGAACAAAAGTTCCCCCTGCACTCATGCATAAAACAGCTGTGACTGGAGATCCCCTCTCGGCAGACGTTATCGAGCCAACTTGCTTAGCACACCTCAAAGCCAGAACAGACTGTATCTTCTATTGGACGATAGACAACCCAGTCTCGTCAACGTTAAAAACTCTATCTGCAGGATATTGATGCTTCTCGAATGCTAACTCCAGAAGATCGAAGAAGTGGCTAACATTTTCCTTATTGAAACCTTTAGCCCGATGAATTGGGCTAAATTGTAAGTTGGCTTTCTTATAGAAATCGCACTTTTATGTCTTTTTAAAAATAAATCTAGCAACTTTCTGCCAGCACTTTCAGTTTCTTTAGAAAATGGATTTGGTAAGTTATTAGCAGCAGCTAACTGGAAAGCCATATGTTTAACATCCCGTCTAGTTAATCGAAAGAACTTCTTTTCCATTAAAAGTAAATATTCTACCAATTTTGTTTCTAAATTTTCTGGTAAAACAGGGGGTCTACCCAATTTCTTGTCTACAGCATCATTAGGTTTAGATGCCAATCGAAATAAAGTGGTACGGGGTATTCTAAAGGTGTCTGCTGCTTTTTTTATATCCCATTTCTTTGATCCTAACGGCCTGAATAGCACGTTCATGTCATATTTGTTCCACGACTTTCTACAGGGTTTATCACTTTTCTTCTTCTGTGGCATTTTCCTGTAACAAATAGAAATGTAATCTTCAAACCAAACTAATTACGAAACTCGATAAGTAACAGAATAGATATTTATATATTTATATATATATATATATATATATATATATATATATATATATATATATACTTCTAGCGGTTAATGTGGGCTCCGTACTAAAACGGTATTATACTAACTCCAGGAGAATATACGCCGTGTATATTATTATCTGAGTAGCGCTTTATGTGGACTCCGACCAACACGTCGGATCATGTGGACTCCGTAACTGGATAAAACATTTTTGGGATCCGTATACAGCTTTTAGCGTAAACAACTAAGCTCCTGCGATGTTGCCAGTAGTTGTATTAGTCGTAGATTTTCAAATTTTAGAGCAGGTACATTTTAGAACTTAAAATTTATTTAAATATCCACCAGGTTAGTCATCGAGGAATTCCAAGAATATCTGGCTACTGTTTTTAAATATATTATAATATAAATTGTTAATATAATTTTATTTTATTTTTATGTTTAATAAGCACTTTGATAATTTTAATTACTTGCTCTAATTATTTTCAAACTTTAGTATCCATTATAAACTTATTAATGCTAATATATAGCATTATTTTATAGCATTCTAATATTTTAGCTATGGATTAAATCCGAATAGCGTTTTGATATTACTTTACTTTCTCGGAGACATTATATTGTAACACAAGGATCTTATTAAATTACCAAAACCTTCCTTTCATATTTTATTCACTTATAAGGGGCAGCACTAACATCAGTAAGATAATAAGGCGTACCTATAGTTCTGGGCAGCTTAATAGAAAACTTGAATGTAGCAATTTTATTGGTTTCGGGACTGCTAACTGGATTGGGGAAGCAGGATATCAGCATTAAGTTAATTCATATAGGAATCGTTGCTTGACGGTTGAAATATCAAATACCAGAAGGCACGACGGTAGCAGTCTGAGAAAGCAAAACAAAACAACTTAACTATTATTAGACAATATCATATTTCCTAATAAACTAATATTCACTTTATAACGGGACAAAAAGATATCGAAACAGTATGTACATACCAACGGGTTTCCTATGTCGGCATCCAGCAAAATTGTTGTAATATTGATACGGGAAACAAAAACCTTGAGAGAAAAATTGGCCCCAAGAAACTCTGCCTTAATAAACAGTCGAATACAATACAGATTCTCGATTTAAATAGTCAAAAAATTAAAGAACAATTTATTAAAATAGAAATAGCGCCGATTTACGATGTAATCCATTAACGGCCCAAGGTACAAAGCAGCTCCTAGTTATGCTGATGATTACATCTATAAATATGTAAACGACATACTGAACAAAGTCCAGAGAGCACGAAAAAAGTTTCAAGTAAAATCAACGAAGTGAAAACCAAATAAAAGCGCATAAACATAAGAGACCGTCAGTAAATCTAGATACAACGTTAAAGTCAACAATTTCAATTTCGAAAGTATGGAAGACATTAAATATCTTAGAACAATAATCGCAGTTGGTAATACTACCACTGAAGGAGTTTAGAGCATAATACAAGCTTTAGACCTATTTTTATGTACGGATGCGAATCATTACA